CACGCAGGATTGCTCGCAGGAAAGAACAGCTGCAACAGCATGGGGAACTCAGGAGTAAGGCTGCAAGGTAATGGCCCCTCCTTCAAGAAGATAAAAGCCAGCTGTGAAGCTAACGTTCTTTGCAGGAAGCAAAGACGTTTTGAAGCTCAGTTTCATGGACATTACAGTATCTTAAGTTGGTATTTGAAGACTCTTGTGTTGTGAAATAGTTCTTATCTGTGATTTTTGGCAGTCTCGCACAGTTTTGGCAAGGTTGTGTTTATCAAAGTTAATTAGTTTGCAACAGCCTTTTAACCGGGGATTCGTAAGACTCATTAAAATGTTTCTGTTCCTTTTGATTATTGTTTGTCTTATTGGAAAAGGGTTTGGGTCAGAACATATTGTTACAGTGTATGGCCATAATTTTTATTTTTGTATTTTATATTTATATCTTGTACATGTTTTAACTTATGTGGGTTTCAGGGGAGTGTGTTTGTGTTTGTTGTTATACATCGTCCCGAGTCACATTGTTTGAGTTGAGCAACTTTAGAAACTTAGTAAGCAAGTAAATAAATAAGTAAAGATTACATTGTGTTTGGAATAAAGCTACTCTATAAAAGTATTTCAAAGGTTCAAGGTTGGAATAAAATAGCTAGACTGATTATTTTAATACATAGAGAAATAATATTCAAATTGAACATTGATTTTTTTTATTTAGTTGCCATGAAAACAGTGGCCACAGGGTGGCAGCAGATTAATAGGATAAAATTCCAGTTTGTTTGCTAAATCTTTCATTTTTTTTAATAACAGAGGAAATGTCACTTGATACTTTCAATAGTTACTGTATTATTTAACAATAGTTATTTACTTTTATTTAATACCTACAATGAGGCTTCAGAATATTTAGCAATTAGTGGGAAGTATATAAAAGATGCTTGGTGGAATGATGAAATAAAAGTGGTTATGAATAAGGAAAATTGTATACAAGAAAATGATTCCTCTGTTATGACAGCAGCCAACTGATAATTTGGAGTATGTAAAGATTGTATCTCCTCCTGACTTTGGATAGATTTCCTTTATAGTAGATGTCATGAATTTTATTTATAATGCCATCCTTGTTGCCATGCAATGAGCAAGCAACCTAAACTGATGCATCATCTCTTCTTTATTCTGAACAGTATTTTTGGACATTGAACTACCTTGTGTCAAAGGATTAAATACCTTTCTCTTTGTAATCGATATGCTTTGTAAGATGGTATACCTAATTCCCAGTTGTGACATTGCCTCTGCACTGAGATAATTCAACAAATTTTCCAAAGCCATGGCTTAATGATTCACATAATAGTTTTGGAAAGTTTATTTAAATTACTGGATATCAAACTCCACCTATCTTCTGAGAAAGTTGATTGGGGGGGGGGGGTGGAATCTAGGAACAAATGCTAATTTAGAACAATCAGAGATGCAATATGCTAATTTAGAACAATAATAGATGCAAATGTTGGATTGCACTCGTATGGTGACTAGCCTTTGTACGTGGGTACTCAGAGTTTCTTTCTTTCATTAATTAATTAATTAATTAATTAATTAATTAATTAATTCATGATAAGTGATAAATGATAGCAGTGTTCCAATACCGAAGGGGCTGTGACAAAGAGGGGGTCAACCTATTCTCCAAAGCATCTGAAGGCAGAATAAGAAGCAATGGATGGAAACTAACCAAGGAGAGAACTAATTAGAACTGAGGAGAAATTTCTTGACAGTTAGAACAATCAATCAGTGGAATACCTTCCTTCCAGAATTTGTAGGCACTCCATCACTGGAAGATTTCAAGAAGAGATTGGACAACCTATACCATGTCTGAAATGGTATACGGCAGTGATGGTTAATCTTTTCAGTGTGTATGTGTGCGTGTATGTGTGTGCTGCAGTGCCAGAACCCAAAAGAGAGAAGTTGGCTGTTGCACATGTGCGTGGCGGCCAGTGGCACTTCTGGGTTCCATCACATGCATGTGCGCTGGACACTTGGTCTTCCTGCAAAGACCAGCTGGCTGGCACGCATGCACACGACAGAACCCAGAAGAGAGTAGCTGGCTGCATGCACATGCATGCCGGACCAGCTGTCCAACTCACGTATGTGTGATGGAACCCGGAAGAGCAGCTGGCAACGGCGGGCATACCCATAGAGTGGGCTCTGCATGCCACTTCTGGCATGTGTGCCATAGGTTCGCCATCATGGGTATAGGGTTTCCTCCTTGGGAAGGGGGCTGGACTAGAAGACCTCCAAGGTCCATTCCAACTCTATTATTCTGTTATTTTATTATTAATATCTGATTTTACTATTAAGAACCCATATAGTAACATTATTTAGATTAAAGAAGATTCACTGACAACTGGAATGATAACTAAATATTCTATTGATTTCAGTGAGTGTACTTTCACTATAATTAAAAATATTGAAAGTGGGTAGATTTTACTCTTATTTGGTTAACAGTCTATATGATGAACTTCCAGTCAAAACTCCTTTTAAATCCATAGTTTAAATTAGACATATATTTATTAAATGTATCATGTAATTCATTTTTAATCAACTTTTTTTCAAAAATGGGAGCATTTATGATATATTTAGGTCAGAAAATTATATAGTTTTGCCCCGTCAAAATACAAAGCCCAAAAAGATTTTTTATTTTACTCATGTTTATTGTATTATTTGCTAATCCAATTGAAGAGATTATGATAGCATTGAAATGGAGGAGGGAATGCAAGTATAATAAGGACACAAAATCTTAAGAGTAGAAACCTGTTCAGAAAATTATTTCAGCCATTGAAATAATTATTGTACATGATTATTTCAAAGCTTCAAACATTATTACTGAAAAAGTTGTTAAGACAACTTACCTGATCTTACCACATTATTCAAGTTAATAATTCAGACTAAAAGTAGTTCTTCTATGCAGGTCTTAGTTATAATGGACCAAATGCGCATATTCAGGATAGTTGATTTGATATACATTTTAGGTCTATATTCTGCTTTCTTCAAATGCTAGGAAAGCAGCAGGCAGGATGGAAACCTGCTGCTTTAATTCTGCAGTCCATTGAAAATCAGGCTGTGAAGGTAAATAGCTAGATAAAGGAAGAGAAGAGGTTAGCTCTGGAATGCTTTCTGCGTGCTCAGCTAGTCTCCAAATTTTACAAGATGCTGTTGGAAGTTCTTAGCCTCTAATATAAAAGTCAATATGGAATGTAGAAAAATAGCTTTTTGTTAGGCTCATTTGTAATGAGGAGGCCTTTGGAAGACCAACCATTCCACAAGATAGTGATCTTCCTGTATCTACTGCTAGGCTCAAAAAAGTTATATCCAAACGATAGAATTTGACAACATAGAAATGATTGGGAAATGAACAGGTTAATTACAGAACTGGTAAACTCTCATTCAATTTAATCTTATTGCTTGGTTAAAAAAAAGGGTAGAGATTTTTTTTTGAAGGACTTACTGTAACTGTTTTTTCAGGTGTCTTTTGTACTTTGGAATGTTGTCAAAGCTTTGTCATACAAAATAGTTGTAAAACTGATATGAATGGAAAAGCAGGTCTGAAGTTCTGGTGGACCAGACTGGTGGACCAATTACATTGCTTTTCTCTGTCTTGAATTGTAACAACTTCACATTTCATCTTTTTCACTTCTGTATTTGATCACAGAACATTTCAGGTTGAATACAATATAACAGACATGACAGATGACAGATATGAGGACACTTGGGCAAGAAGCTTTTCAGTAATTTTACAGTGTTGTAATTTTTTGCCAGGGTATGTTTGGCTTACATGAGTCCTATGTTTATATAGAGGCCTGTTTGGACCCTTCTACAATTTAAAAAATTATCTAGCAAGAGTCATGTCCTTCACTCATACCATGCAATTGGGCATCAGTCCAACTAAACTATGGGCATCAGTCCAACTAAACTATTTCAGTTTGTGATCACTGCAACATCAGCAAGTTTGTTCTTGAACTGATTATTCTCCTGCTTTATTGAAATTATTATAAGCACTGCTATTTAGCTACTGAAAAGACTTGCAAGACTTGTAATTGTTCTTTGCACTCGTAAACCACTGCCTGGCAATAAGGTTTAAGCGTGACAAACTCCTAGCTTAATATAGCCCCTATTCTTCCTCTAAATCAGAGATGTCAAACTCAAAGCCTGCATCTGGCCGCTGGGGTACTTAGGTCTGGCCCATGGGGCCACCTTGGAAACAGCAAAAATGTGGTGTCTCTACCTACCAGCAAAAACGGAGCTGGGGAGGGCCACGTGCAGCCCTCCTGAGCTCCGTTTTCCCTGGCAGAGTGTTTCAGGACGCCATTGCAGCCGGAAACAGAGCTCAGGAGCCTGTTTTCGCTGGCAGAGCACCTGGGCCATCACAAGTGCCCCAGACATAAGTGACATCAAGCTGGCCATGCCCCCGAGGTCAAACGCAACCCTGATGCCTCCCTCAGTAAAATTGAGTTTGACACCCCTTCTCTAAAATCTTATTCTTGCAATGTGCTTAAATATTATTATAATGTACGAAAAATATTCTGGCGATCAAATTCTCCATCATAGAGAAAGGATATTTAGATGTGTGCCACTGTTACTGTCATTTATTTATTTAGCAGTGTTAATAAACTGCCCAGATTATAACATTCTAGTTAACATTCTAGTTAAACAAAAACAACAATAATAAACAGCAGTAATTCTAATATGAAAAACAGAATATGCAACCAAGATGGATGCTCACAATCAATTCAGGACAAGGCATATTAGAATAATATAATTTTTACTATATTTGTTATAAGGAAGGTGGAACAAAACATACCTTGCTAGAAGTGTTTCAGAAATTGCCTACAAAGGACTCAGAGTATAAGCTTGCAAAATTTGATTCCTAATAGGTTAAAAAAAAAGATTCCGGTGTGACATGAATCTTCATAGCCACTGTCCTAATGAGAAAATTACATGTATAAAATACTAATTTCATTGATTTCTTTCTCCTCTAGGCTTCGAGCTCTATCAAGTGGTGGGAGTGTGACATCTCCTCCTCTCTCTCCAGCTTTGCCAAAATATAAATTAGCTGATTATCGTTATGGAAGAGAAGAAATGTTAGCACTTTTTCTGAAAGATAATAAGGTAAGTAAAGGGAAAATAGTCATATCTATATTGAAATATGTGCATAGTTATTATGTTATGTTACTACAATACAGGAGTAAGCATTTTAGACTCAAATATGCTAAAGAGAGATTTTAAATAATTATTGATTAAACTACTAAAAAGATTTATGTTCCTCTAATCAACAACATTGTTTTTCAAAGGTAAAGGTTGTGCACTGCTGTTCTAATTAATACTTATGAAACGATTAGTAAATTAATTGAGTTGTATCAAAATTTCCTTGTTGAATGAAAATATTCTTTAGATTCAGTCAGTCATATTTTTTTCTTTTCTTTTATAAATTATTCATTACATTGATTACTTTAACACATGGACTAATTCAATTAAAGTTACAAATATTTTGTGGGCTGGCACCACTAGTTTTCACTAGTATTCCATCTTGTATACTAGGTGATATTGCTCCATTGCCTGGAGAATTCACTAAGAGAACTCACATAAATTTGTTACTTAGCTGTAAGTGCAGCTTATAAAATGATTATCTGGACATACCAGATAATCAGTAACAGATAGCCAGTAACAGAAATATTTGTATCAGTAGCACCAATTTTTCCACTGTTGATGACAATTGCAGACCAACTGAACAAAGCTGGTAGCCTGGAATATTTGTCTGCTGAAATCACAGGTTATTGAAACATAGAATGAAAAGATAGGAAGGATTTGAATATAATATAGTCCAAGCTTCTATCCAGTACAGGAATCCTACTAAACTATCTCCAATACATGTCTATCTAAATTTTGTCTAAAAAACTACAGAAAAAGACAGTCCACCAACTCTTGAAGAAGTCTATTGTTGAACAGCTCTTACTATTAGGAATTTTTGTGTGTGTGATGTTCAATCAAAATCTACTTTGTAATTTAAACATATTCTGATTCTGTTCACAGAGCAGCTATAAACAATTCTGCTATGCCATCTACATGACAGTCTTTTAGATAGTTGAAAACAGCAATCATACCTCTTTGCAATTTTATCTTCTGTAAACATACTTATAACCTCCAACCATTCCAGATATACTGTATTTTTTCACAAAGGTCCCTTATCATCTTGGTTGCTTACCTCTTAGTATGTTTACATTTTAGTTTGTTGAAGTTCTTTCCAAAATGTGGTGCCAGAACTGGATGCAGTATTCCAGCTATTGCCTATTTAGCTATGCTAAATAGAGAGCAATAATGACTTCCTTTGTTCTTGGCACTACAGTAGATCTCTGCTGATGTAGCCTAACACTTCATTTGTATTTTGCAAATGCATCAGAACTGCCTGAGTTGCTTTATAGTGAAATGGGCGGCACATAAATTTAACAATCAGTAAATTGTTGGCTCATGTTCATTGTGATCCACCAAGATACATAGACACTTTTCATGTATTTTGTTTGTTTTGGTAGCTCCAAATCAGTGTTGATTCCTGGCTATTGCTGGACTACTGCCTACAGTTTCATGCCTAAAATGAGATTATAACACATGATCTCTTGGTTTGTAGTCTGGTGCCTTGGCTTTCTTTTTAAGGTGTACTGTGCCCAATATAGGTACTTTCATCCTATATTTATGCTTTTGGTTTTTCCTATCTGATAGAGATTTTTCCTACCTATCTCAATTTGTTCCTGTTAAAATTCATCCTGTTGACTTTTGCCCATTGTTCTTCCTTGTTTACATTCTTTGAATCTTGACACTGTCTTCCTAATGTTTGCTATTTCCCCTAATTTTCCATCATGTAAAATTAATAGTCATATTTTCTAACTTCTAATTTGAGTCATTTATAAATGTGTTGAACAGGATAGGCCTAGAACATAGTCTATGGTACACCACTCAATTTTTCTTTCAGTTTGACATGGAGCTGTTAATGAATACTCCTTGAATGCAATTGTTCAACTAGCCATGTCCATCTAATGGTAACATACTCTACCCATATTGTGATATTTACTCTACTAGAGTGTCATGAGATTTTGTCAAATACTTCACTATAGTCCAGGAGATGTAGTCATGCAATGTTGCACTTTTCAATCTCTGCTTAGGAACAGAAATTCTGGTCCTAATTACTATAGTTAAGCAAAGACTATCTATAGTTTGAGGGGATTCAGAATATTACAAGTTTTGGGAGTTCAGAGTGGAATTCTATATTATCAAAATTATCAGTCTTATCACTTGCCATTATTGCATTGCAGTACATCTGTTTATATTGCTGATATGCTACAGCCAATTACTGTATGTCTTGAGTTCTCAAAAGTATAACTTAACTGGGTCATAGAGCTTACTACTATGGTGACATTCACCTTATCATTCATCCTAGCTGAGGTAATGATATTGCAGAGAAAAATTTAAATAATGTTAGTGTGAATCATTGAAAGTGAATCCTTTTCTGGTTGTCTTGCTGATGATATTGACGTCTTCCTTCCATTATTCATGAATTCTTCCGAATATCACTTCTTCAATACTGCCTGATACAGTCTTGAAGATATTGGTGTTTCCACCAACTGATCCAACTCTTCAACAGATTGTATTTTTACCAAGCAGCCATAGTTCACACATTGTAGATTATTTATTTGATTATCGCCCAGGTCTTCCACTCTGACAAATAATGTAATTTGCAGGAATTATAAATCAGGGTTGGTACTGATGAACGTTGTATCAGTGGACCTGATTTTGATTGCGAGTTTTGCAGGTGTTGATATTTTTATTACTACTTGCTTCTTCTTGAAGTGAACTGTTTTCATTCAATTTGTATGGCTGCCTATCTCACTAAGTGACTGTTTAGAAATTAAAGTAAATTAAATTTAAAAAAATAAAAACAATTACAATAATACAAAAATGAAAATATATGGCAACTGAGAATAAATCGCCCATCATAATCCCTAAATTAACTAAAAAACAGGTCGCTGTGTATACTTGGGCCCCCAGACCTGGGCACAGTTTTTTTAAGAGCTTATAAAAAACTGAAGAGTTGGGATAATTATAATTTAAAATACAGGTAATCCTTGACTTGTGACAGTTTGTTTAATGATCGTTTGAAGTTATGTAACTGAAAAAGTGATTAATGAACAGTACACACACTTAATAACCATTGTCCCTATAGTCACGTGATCAAAGTATTTCTGATTATGTATGGTAATGTATTTGTCAGTTGCTGCATCCCGGATCATATGATTGTTGTTTGTAATCATCTCAGAGGGCTTCCAACAAACAAAGTCAATGAGGGAAGTCAGATTCACTTAAAAGTCATGTGATTTGCTTAAAGATCAAGGCAGAAAGATTGTAAAATTGGGTGTGTCTCATTTAATGACTGCCTCACTTAGGCACAGAAGTTCTATTTCCACACTGGTGTGTGTGTACACACACACACACACACACACACACTTACAATAATGAACTCAGAATTCCAGGACTCTTCATATATACTTCAATGATCAGCCAATTCACTTGACTTTGAATTCAGTATGCTTTAATTTGCTTTAAATTGATGATTTTCTTCTGGGGATTAAATTCCTATTCTTTTTTTTTTAATGCAGCAGCGGAGTATAATCACACTGGGAGTGTTCCTTATTATCTCCTCTGACTTTTACTTCTGATAGTTATAGTGTTTGAAGAAACAGAGTTCTCACTAGATATGATTTCTAATATATAAATAGCATTTTTTCATGAAAATGACAAATGCTCATAAATATGTGCAAAGTCTCAGTAGTAAGAAAGGTTCTCTATACCTTCTGATTAGTTCAATTCTGTTGTAGTGCCCAAGTTGTTCTGTGTAACCTTATTTTGTGAAGGCCTGATCCTTATGTATTTTAGGATTACAAATCTGTGCAATTTGTGCCTTTATTAGTAATATCTCAAGTAGTTTCATCTAATTATTAAGAGGAATATCAGCATTTTTCTAAGCCAAATAATATCCACCAGTGGCAATAAACTTCATAGATAGATGTCTTCATATTTAAAGAAAAATGTTAGAGTGTTAAATTCTGTAACCAGAGGAATTGAATAAGTGCAGAAGGAGAATACTGATTTTATTTTGTATTCTGCTGCCAGCAGAGGCTTTCTATAGTATTATTATGAATCAAGACAACTGTATCAGGTTCTCATGTTAGCCAGGCCTATTACAACATTCGGGAAGATCTAGAGAATCTGTTTTGCTTTGTGTGCAGCAGTTAACATTCGTTTCTAGTAAATGAAATGTATTTATTTTATGGCTTTTGCAGATAAGCACAACAGTTTGCTTGTTGCAAAACTTCCTCCAGTTTCTATTCTCCTTGGAAACAGACAGCCTTTCTGTTCCTTTCTTCAGACTTTAGGAGCCATCGTAGATTCCTATTATGTTGATGGGGTTTCCATGTTCAGCAAATAGCTTAAATGTTTCTAAAAGGTTTGCTCAAACTATATTTGCTTAGGTAACCAATCCTGGCAATTAAGAGAACCTTTTTGTAGTCTTGAATCTATTTATGTCCAAACCCTTTAACCCTAACAACATTTAATCTCAGACTGCTGAACTGGCTTCCTGGCATTCTTGGTTGCCATTTCATTGCCAGTACGTTCTGTACTGCATGCATGCATTTGCTGTACTTCACCAAGTGAAGTACCTCATCCAAATGATGTTGCTTTTTCAGTTGAATCTGGATATTTTTCTTCCATCCTTCTTTTCAATATTGTCTATTCTACTATAAATTTCTCTTTACTATTTGAAGGTGTATAAGGCTTTTTGTCTAAACTAGATAAGATCTTTCTGTAAGCTATAGATACCAGCTATTGCAGATGTTTATAGGATTTTGTCATATTTTCTAAACAGTTTGCAAAATAGTCCTCTGGCAGGTTTTGAGTGTTCCATTGTTAGAGTGTAAACACTGAAACAATGGACAGCAACACAGCAACCATGTTCTTCATAACTTTTCTACCAGAGAGCTTTTATAATCATTCTGTCATAACTCTTCTCCTATTTAAAACTGTTGACTTGGTATACAAATAAAAACAGACATATTTCATGTTTGACCCTGACCTTATTTCTTTCCTATATATATATGTCTTTTTGCCCAGCAAGAAAGGTTCCTACTTATCCATATTTTGTTAGCAGAGACCACAAAGTAGGAGGATAGGTTGGTTACCTGAAATTATAGCTCTCTGAGTGGTCATCTGTGAAGTTACACAACCTACTTTTTTCTCTATTGCTTATGTTTTCTTCTGTTGGTGATTCTATTCCCTATTTATCTGCTGTGGTAGTTGTTAAGAACTCAGGAGAAAATAGGATAATGTTGGGATATGCACACTGGGAGCCAGGGGCATGTTTCCCTCAAATTTTCCATTTGTTCTAAAATAAGTGTCAACAAGTTGATGTACAGTACGAAAATCCATATGTATGATGGTGTAGATGACCACTCAAAGATCTATTGTTACAGGTCTGCAACCTCTCCTTTTTTTTTAATTTCCCCTTTAGATACCCTCAGACCTTCTGGATAAAGAATTTCTACCCATTCTACAAGAGGAGCCCCTACTACCTTTGGCACTAGTACCTTTTACAGAAGAAGAACAGGTTAGTTTAAAAAAAATTAAAAATGGGTATTTATATGAGAATTTAATAGTAGATTATTTATTATAGCACATTTACTATTCAGGTGAAGAGAACCAGTTCAGCTATAAAATATTTCCTTATTATGCATGATAATATATACTACATAAATATTTTACAATTTAAAAATAAAGTAAGTATTCCCATATATTCTAAATACAACTACTGTTACTTACCGAATTTCATGTTGGCCGATATTAAAATTAAAGAATTGTAAATGATATTCCAAGTATATGAGTTGACCTAAGAAGTTTTTAATGCCATTTTCAGATATTCAGAAAGTTTCTTGTTTAAATTTATTAATTTACCACAGAGTAAAAAAATATAAGGTAATTCTGATTTTACAGTCTCATTCTACTTAATAAGACTCATTATGATAAAGTACAAGATAAGAATATTATACACACATACATACAAATACATACACCATGTTTCTCCAAAAATAACACCCAACTGGAAAATAAGCCCTAGCATGATTTTTAAGGACACTGGTAATATAAGCCCTACCTCAAAAATAGGCTCCATTTAAGATCATCAGCTAGATGGATGCATTTAGAACCGTATTTCCCCCAAAATGAAGACCTAACTAGAAAATAAGCCATTTTGGAGCAAAAATTAATATAAGATCACAGTCACATGATCATGGCATGTGGCAACAGGTCATAAAACTGACCTGCCCAATTTGCAAACACATGACTATGGGGCATAGCACAATCATTTGTGATGGATGGGGTGTTTTACTGGTCATAAAGCACTTGTTTCGTGGCTATTGCCATTTTGAATGGTCCTAAAGTGAGCAGTTGTAAATCAAGGAGTACCTATATGAATATCTCACTGAAAAGGTCAACTCACTGCAGGAAGAGGACTCCTATATATTCTAGAATATTGTTTTCTAGCTTCTTACAGATAGGCCAATGGGAACCAGCCTGTAAAAAATGTAAGGACTGGTACCATCCGGGAGTCATTGGAGTTGTATTGTCCTAATATGGTAGCCTAATTGAAAGTCAAAATCAATAAAAGCTGATCTCAAAAATATACTTAAAACCTAGATTTTATTTCAATGCCAGTATTAAAGTATTGCTGGTTTAAATATGTTTTAACTATTCCGTCACAGAATTTTGCATCAGCTGAAGTTTATAGAATGTTTTTAAAGAAAGGTTTAGGTACAGTGTATTAAAATAATTTAATTGGAGATATCAAAAGTATTGATTAACTTAGCAATGCTATACCTTCCCAAGGAAAGGGCATCAGTTCTTCCCAGTGTTGCTCAAATGTGTTATTTTCAGATACTGTATAAAAACATTCAGTCATCTCTTGATTAAAAAGCACTATTATAGCCCTATGAAGCAAAGTCAGCATTTCTATAATTGATTAACTCTTATAGGATACGTTTCTCTGACCCAATAAATCTTCCCTAACACTACTATATTTTACTCATTAGGGATTCTAAGATGAAGTTTAGTATACCCGCTGATCTGATTAAAAAATATCAGACTGTTGAGACAGTGTTACAGTTGCCAGCATCATAGTTCAGACATTTATTTGAAACCATGTTCCTGAACTCTGGAAACAAATGCCTTGACTTCTTGTTGAAGAACTTCCAGAGCAGAACTACAAAATGAATATAAGGAAGGGTTGTATTAAATACACACTAGATACACACTAAATACGCAAAAAATGTTGAGTGTTGTCACATGACAATTGCAACTGCAACAGCTGCCACGAGTTGCCAATGTAATTCTGGACTCAATTACAGTCATAAGTTGAGGACTACCTGTAATAGATTTGATACCTGAATCATATATACCAAAGTGATGTTAGTTTAAATTGCAATTAAATTATAAAACACATTTCCAATCTCTTCTTTTCATGCATATTAGAGAGAGAAAAATTGGGATGATTGAGCTCAAAATTTACTAACATAACACTAATTTAATTGTTAGTTTCAAAGCATGCTAAAATATTGGTTATTTGAACTTCAGCACTGTTCAACATAACACTGCATTGTTATGTTGCTGGAACATATGTTACTGTTATCTTCTAAGAGCTCAAAGAGACCAATATGGGGGCCGTCCTATTTATCCCCAAACTGAACAAAGCTGAAGCATATGTTGGCTCGGAATTACTTAATAAGCTCCGTGGTTGAATAGGGATTTGAACCTAAATTTCTCTAATTCCAATCCAGTATTTTGAGTACCACACTACACAATCAAGGGAACCACATTTTATATGATATATGCATTCATATCACCATTCTGGTGCCAAAGAACTCTATGGCCTTTTTCCAAGCCAGCTCTTTAATCCTTCTATTACATTGGCTATTACATTAGCACTGTAGCTGATTTCCTCTTTGTCCGTGATGGCGAACCTATGGCACACGTGCCACAGGTGGCACGCAAAGCCATTTGTGCAGGCACGCAAGCCCCAGGCAAACTTACCTGCACTGCGCATGCACGCGCCCCCCAGTTGATTTTTGGGCCTTTTTCAGCCTCCCAAAGGCTTGAGGGAAGCCTCTGCAGCCTTTGGAGGCCGAAAAATAGGCCCATTTTGTCACTTCCTGTATTTCCAGAAATACCAGAAGTGACGAAACAGTCCCATTTTTGGGCCTGCAAAGGCTGCAGAGGCTTCCCTCAAGCCTCTGGGAGGCCGAAAAAGGACTCAAACGTGCTGAAAATCAGCTGGGAGGTGCAGTGCAGGTAAGGGATCAGCGGGGGGACCGCCTGTGCATGCGCAGGGGGTATGGGGGGCATGCACATTGCCTTCTGGGTGCTGGCACGTAAGTGTGCGAGTGCAAGCACGCACACAATTTTTGGCACAGGAGCCCCAAAAGGTTACCCACCACTGTTCTATGTCATTCTTTAATAAAAAGATCATAATCATATAGCCACCCAAATGTTGTATATCAGCGGTCTCCAACCTTTCTAGTTTGCGGAACAGTGGGGGGAGAAGAAATGGAGTGGGTGTAGCTCCATTTGTGCAGGCAATGGGCATGTGCACCTACTGTTCACACAAATGGAGCTGCATGCATGTACATGCTTGCCCACCACTACGTGCACAAGTAGAGCTGTGCACACACACTTTCCTACCACTTCCGTGGCCTGGGGGTTGGGGACCCCTGATGTATATGTAATTGTTTCTAAATAACTTTTCTTTTTAATAGGGGGGTGGTAATTGAATTTTAAATTCTTTTGTGTGTACTCTACCACTGAATCAAAGACTCTATTTTAGAAGCTTTTATAGCTTTAGAAGTTGTATTTGTGTGTGTGTGTATGTATGTGTATGTGTGTGTTAATAACCATGGCTACTAAGCAAATCATGCAGCTTCCCCCAATGACTTTACTTATGAGTCACCCCTTGGGAAGATTACAAATGGTGATCATGTGACACCCCCCCATGCCGCAACCATTGTGAATATATGCCTAAGTTAATCACATGACCAAGGGGATGTTGCGAAGGTTGGAAGTGCAAAGACTAGTCATATTCTCCTCCATGCTGCATCTAGAGCCCAGGATGGGTTGACTCCTTCCTATGACGTCATAGCTGAGTCTGTACTAAGATATAAAAGCCAGCCCCTGGGAGAGACCCCAGCTTTTGACTCAGCTCCTTTCAGTCAGTAGCTGTGTCTCTGAAAACGTTCTGTTAGATAGCAATCACCAGCGATCTTCAGTACTTTTTTCCTCTCTTCAAGCAGCTCCCAGGGATCTGGGCAGCTGCTCTTCCAGGAGAGCAGGGCTCTCTCTCTCTCTCTCCTGCAACGTTGGGAGCAGCTTTACAGAGCTCTGTGCAGGCAAGCTGGGCAGCGTCTGCAGACCTTCCACACGCCTGCAGTTTGGAGGGATCGTAAACACGATCGGCAAACTGATAAGAGCTCAAGCCAGCTGATCGTGTAGCTGGTTGCTGTGTTTTTCCCTTGCTGACTTCGCTCGGGGCTCTGTATAGCCTAAGGAGCGATTCTTCAATCTTGGAGCCTGTTTTCCTGTAGTCAGCGGCCATCTTGGATTCAAGCCTTCCACCACGAGGTGAGCGGCCATTTTGTAAGCCCGGGGGCCATTTATACCCTAAGGGGCTTAATAGAAAAATTTCTAAACTTCTTTCCAATGCAAGAGCCTTTATTTTACCAATGGAGCAAGATAAGGCTCTGGCAGAGCTTTCCCCCCCCAGTGGAACAGTCTCTTAAGCCCAATAGGAGAAAAAGACATAGGCAACACACCCAATCAGTCCAGAGGGAGGTGGCTGCAAAAATCAGAGCTAAGGCTCTATCTCCTAAGAAGGCAACTCAGGCTGAATTGAGGGGAGAGACGCGCAGACATGCCGCTCTAGAGAGGCAGTTCAACAGAACTATTCAACAGAAGGGAGTGCAACTACAGCATGTTTCAGGTGATACTCGTGGGCCCCAACCAAGCCCTCCTAGGGGAGGAGAAGTTATCTATGAGCCTTTCCATCCTCCATCCTGGTCTCCTGAGGCTCTTGCTGTTCAGTCAGATCCTCAGGATTTAAGCAGATCTGAGCCTTATTTCCAACAGGCTTCTGTGCCCTATGCTCCTTCCCCTCCCTCCAGGCCTCGAACTTCTCTTCAATCTAGGCCTGAAGACACCTTCACTCCCACAGCAGCTGGCCTTCGGCCTTCTGTCTCTACCTTTGAGCATAGACCAAGGGATATCCAAGATGTAGTCTCATCAGCCATTAGGCAGGGATTTGCTGAAGGCTTCAAGCAAATTCTTCAACCTCTGGAAAGGGTTCAGGCCCTTCTCCCTTCTCAATCTATAAGTTCCTTGCCTCATCATCCTGATTTACACAGGCCTCAGGACCTCAGGGTCCATTCTTCTCTACCAGAATGGGAGGAGGTTGATGAGGAAGGAAGGCCTTCACGATCTGAACATAGTTACTCTTCTCATTCAGAGTGTGAAGAGGGTGAGATTTTTGACCAAAATCTTTCAAAGGAAGAGGATTCTCGTCCAGAGCAG